GAGAGCCCTTGGAAGGTCTGGTGTCTAATTCCAACCCTATCATCAGGCTGCTCTGGGGTCCAAGGCAAATCAGTGCCCTGACCACAGACCCCACGTATAAAAATGCAGGTAACTCAGGCAGGAAGAGTAAACCTAACAGGATCTTGACTTCTGGAGAAAACCATAGGAACCACGGGCCAACCCACCTCTGTACCCTGGGACCGCCCCTTCCCAGCACACGTGGTCTCTCTCAGGCCCCTTTTCAGTCTGACTCCCATAACAGACTCTGCGTGAGCATCCACAATTTGCTCCAGACAGAAAGGATTCACCACAGATCCCTCCAAAGCCAGGAAGGGCAACAGGTGAAAGACCGGGTTCGCTGAGCACCGCGTCCTAAGGGAATACATCCAGCCTCTAGCTCTCAAGGAAGGGTGAGCAACCTGGTACCACCGCCCCCACAGATTCCTCAAGCTTCCACACAGCTCACTGGCCCCGGGGTGATCTCTTGGCCCGAGGCAGGCCAATCAGATTCTTTCTCCCAGATACCTGAAGTCAAGGCCCAGTCACTGTGGGGACCGAGTCTGCACCGTGGTGACCCACGTCGTGGTGGAACCCAAGACACTGATTTGCAGGGAACAGCTGGACAATAAGGCGGATATTCAGAAAACAACTAGAGACGTCCCTCTCCCAGGAGCCCGCTGGCTGTGCCCCTCAATACCATCTCCAGCTGTGGGGGTCTGTTCCTGAACCTACATGCCCTTGGCGGCACCCTCTGGGGGAGTTAACAGAGACACTGTAGCAAGCCAGGTGCTTGGGTCAACAGGAGGTGGGAGCCATAGATGAGAAAGCAGATCTTTTTTTTTTTATTTCTTTGAGTCGGAGTCTCACGCTGTCACCCAGGCTGGAGTACAGTGGCACGCTCACGGCCACCGCAGCCTCGACCTGCTGGGCTCCGCTGAACCTTCCGCCTCAGTCTTCCAAGAAGCTGGAACTACAGGCCCGCGCTACCTCGCCCGGCTAATTTATTTATTTATTTATTTATTTATGTATTTATTGTAGAGACAAGGTCTGGCCAAGTTGCCCAGGTGGGTCTCGAACCCGTGGGTTCAGGCAATCCACTCACCTTGGCCTCCCAAAGTACTGGGATGACAGGCTGAGCCACTGAACCCGGCAGCAAGCAGATCTTTAAACACTTGCCCATATCGTCCCTAGAACCGTCGCCAAGATGAAAACAGAGAGCCCAGTCCCCAGGACAACCAGATTCACGGGAAGGCTTGTTCAGTCACCCGCCCCCACACCCAGGACGGTGCCCTGCTTGAGATGGCCTGACCCGGAGGGCCACCAGGTGAGCCGGCCTCCATGGCCAACTCAAGTCCTGGGCTGACCCAGAGCCCTCCCGGCGGGGACACGTTGCTTGAGGACGAAATCGAGAACTGTCTGCAGGACAGCCAAAGAAACGACCTCCCTTCCCCAGAACCTGCTGTGCCCTGGACGAGAAACGCCCATGTCAGGGACCCGATGACGGAGAAAAGGGCAGGGAAGTCTCGGCTCCAGCACCTGGCAACGTTCCCCAAAGGCCACCAGGACTTCCCTCTTCGGCAAGTCCCTCTGCTGGCTGCCAACAGGCCTCTCCCCAACACCGCCAGCCTTGGACCACTGGGGTGAGAACATCCCGTGCTGGGAGAAGCCGCTGCCTCCCGGCCTTTGGTTAGAGAGCCCAGTTATCAATACTCGTGACAATACAGACGTCCTTTCCTCTGGACTCCTGGTAAGATGTGAAGCCGTGAAGCGCGCAGGGCTGGGCGCCAGAGCAGGTTGGCCCTGGCTCCACGGAGGTCACCCCATCTTTCCCACCTGACTCGTTTGCCCCGGGGTCCAAAGCAAAGCAGTTCCCTGAGCCACAGAACCCACATGTGGAAAGGCATGGACAGCCGACGGCAGGGGAAATATCAGTAAAGAATGAGCACAAGTGGAGAGAGTCAACAGAACTGCGGGCCAACCCACCTACGGCCTTCGCAAGGGCGACCGGCCCTGCCTTTCTGCAAAAACTCATCCCGGACACCTCTTTTCTTACTTTCAATTCCGCCATTTTCCCCCCTTCTTTTTCATCCTTGCCTGACTGCAAAAGGCACAAGACCCTTCCTGGCAGATGCATCCACGGGAACGTCTGTTTAACCCGCAGAGACACTGCCTGCCTCAAAGTCCCCTCGGGTGTCAGGAGACACGGTGCACAGGAGTGCTAACATCACCACAGGGCCACTCGCTGGCCCTGAGGGCCATGGCCAGCATCTGCCGCAGGCCAGTGCAGGCTCAGATGCGTCCCGTGCACAATCTTGGTTTGGCTTCCTGACAGCCCTACAGCGCCTGCTGAGAAAAGCGGGTCCTGAGAAGCCCGAGTTACACCCTGAAGAGCTCGGGTCATCTAGCCCTGGACTTTCCACTCCCCAGGCCGTCTCTCCTTCCACTCGGGATCCAAGTTCCCCAGACACAGGCCAGGGAGGCAGCCAAGCTGACCACCCACGGCCATGGCTCCTAGGGGCATGCAGGGCTCTGATGTCAGACGCGTGGGCAAGAGGGAGAGAGTCCCCTGCATAACTGTCCTCACCCCACACCGTCAGGGGCTGGTGGAAGCCTACTGAAATAGATGTCGCCCTCCCTTTTCCCCCAAGAAGTGAAAATGGCTGAAGATGATCTCAAGCAAAAACCGGAGTTCACCAACTGGAGGTTGGTGAACTTGGATTCACAGGATGGGTCTCGGACATCTTGAAATCAATCCAAGAGGGTTCAGGCAGGCGACTGGAGTTTGGCGGATCCCCGTGTGGTGGAGGGAACCCAAGGAGGCAAACGGCAAACGGCACCCGGACAGGGAGGGCAACAGCTGGGAGCTTAGAGGACTTAGGAGAAAGGGAGAAACTGCAGAATGGAGACAAAGAGGATAAATTTTTGCAGAAAGGTAGGGCTGCAGTGACTCCTGCAAAAGCCAGCAGAGGGCACGGGGAGAGGAGACAGGAGCAGCCCGGGCCAAGGCAGGCAAGCCCGCCTGCTTGTGTGGCCATCACAGCACGGACCGTACAGAGCGGTGCACAGACCGAAGGTTCAACAGACGTTACAGCAGACGCACCTGCCAGGAAGGGTCTTGTGCTTTCACAGTCTAGCAAGGGAGTCTGGTGCCGACCAAAAGAGCCAACCTGCCAGTCGCAAGGGAACTGGTGGGGGGATGCCAACTTCAAGTCCAAGGTTAGAGGCAAAGACCAGCCCAAGGGATCGCGACTGAGGGTCACCGTGCAACGGTCTCCAGACCAGGAGGAAGGGGACACCAGAAGTGCCCAGAGGGACCTTCTGGACAGACTCAGCAGTGGAGTCTCATCATCAAGACGAGAGCTTGAAGGCCAGATCAGCGACAGATTCTGGCGCTGCCTGGAGACCACGGGGCTCCGGTCTAGAAGCACAGCAGAGGTGGAGGAAACCGACTGCGTGGCCCGGGCCCCTCAGCACGCAGGTGGCCCCAGGCTGCCACGGCCCACTCAGCAACCCCCCTTGTCTCACCTGCATAGCTGATCGCCTCTTTCTCCACCACGCGCTGTCCTACGGGCTCCTTCAGGGAAGAGCCATCAGCGCCTGGCCAGGTCTGCCGAAGGCCCCTGCCAGTGGTTCTTTCTTTTTTTGAGTGGGAGTCTCACTCTGTTGCCCAGGCTGGAGGGCAGTGGCACGCTCCCGACCACCGCAGCCTCGACCTGCTGGGCTCTGGCGATCCTTCTGCCTCAGCCTCCGAG